AACAAGTTTTACCATGCTTCCCACATACTAAAAAACATATCTCTTAATGCATGCTACTTGAGATACTGAAAAGGAATATACACTGTTAAAAACTGCACCATGTCAAGAAATAAAGCATTGTCAGTACTCCAAGAATGCTCCCTCAGTTTTAGCTTCTTTTTCTGGAGCAATGAAGCTGATTTAGTTACAGACACAGAAGAAGCCCACCTCTCTCAGGAGAGGACGTGTGTCATAATCTCATGATAACTCCAGAGAGAATGGACACATGAACCTACAGCAACTTGCTTGTTGACCACAATGCAGAGACAGGTTGTGCGCTGTGCTGTAAGCAGAGCCTCTGCAGCAGGCATGTGCCAGAGAACTCGCCAACCGCTCTCCTGTCCACCCTGCATCTGCTTCCAAGGGGAAGCCATTAAAGTGGGTGACAAAGATCAGGAAGGGGTTACCAGCATTGTGAATGCATGATGGAGGGCCCTACTGGCCAATCGAGGTTCTTTGATTTGTTGTTATGAGAAATAGTATTTTTTGAAAAACAGTTTTTAAAGTAACCTTTACGCTCTATGTAATGTTCTTTTTTCATAATCTCACCACCCAACAATAAATATAATGATGTTAGACCACCCACAACATTGTTATTGTACTTTGCAAAAATGTTTAACCTCAATATAACCATGAGAACACATCAGGGAAAATCCAGATGGGGATTTTGGAACATTCTGCAGCTGGCCTGCACACAGAAGTGGCAAAGTCATTAAGACAATGATAGACCAAGGAGGGCAGTTATACAAATGAAAGGAACCTGAGTCCTTGTGGGTCTGTAAAGTGGGCCTGTGACCAAAAGTGTTTGTCTAAAAATGATGTTACTTAGGACAGTTGATAAAATCTGAACATCTGTAGGTCATTGTGTCTGTGTTCATTTTATTTTCCACATGCAGACTTGGAGAGGCCAGTGTGATGCCACCATATCAAGGGAGTTAGATGCTCATGTTCCAGCCAGATAGATGGCTTGTTCCTTTTGGATCTTCACTTCCATATGGAAACATCATGTATAATAATAATCTAGGAGAAAGGGGGAGATTCTGTTCTCCTGGCTGATAGTTGTGTCTTCACTGATTGTGTAGCTCCATCCGTCCACAGGTGGCAGATGACTAGATCCCTGGGAGGGCTTCCTTTCAATCCTGATTTAAAGTTGGCCCTGAGCAGGATTTCTTTGCGTAGCCACTGAGCTTGCATACCCCTGGGGCCTGCAACCCTGCAGTGGCCCAGATCCCCATGGCGGGAAAGGCCAGGACCTGATCTCATGCTCGCTCTCGCTGTCTTGAAACCCCTAACTACTTCTAAACAAGTCCCCCACCCCATTTATAGTGCAGCTGGGTCCTGGATGCTGGTGGTGGGGAAAGGTGGCCGCCTCTGTAGTCCCTGACCCTGCACTGCGGTTGTCCCTGAGATCAGCCTCCCTCCCCAAGACACTTGCCCAGCTTTCTTCAGCTAAAATATGACACCTGAGCCTTAACAGATTTCCCACCTTGCCATCACCCTGCCCCAAACATTGGTTTCTGCATATGCAGTTGTTTCCATTTCTGCCACCTACCCATGTTTGCCAGTCTCCCCAAGCCCAACAGGCTTTAGCAGCTGCTGTCGTCCCTCCGCACACAGACAGCTGACTTGTCTGCTGATTGTGAACCTCCCAGTAATCCAAGTGCTAATGGTATTTATTCAGTCCAGCCGCCTTAGACCTGAACAAGGTTTATTCTCATTTATAGCGTTACAGGCGAGCTGCATCCTTAATATCCTTCTGTTGACTTTGTCCACATCAGAGCCACTGATGTCACTGAGAGGCAAGCCAGGTTCCTGCCCATTTAACTTCCTGAAATCCCAGACATCCACCTTTGTTCTGGAACAGCCCCTCCAGGCCTGGACCACAGCTTTGGTCCAGGGTCCCTAGGCTGGATGGGGATGGTGTTGGCCTGGGTGTGCTTGGCTGAGTAGAGCCACATCCTCAGGGTCTGGTCTGGCCTCTTTGGTAACACCTGCTACAGTTGTCGTCTTTTGGCACCAGTTCATTGACTGGCATTTTTGCATTCATTAGCTATTTTCTAAAAAAAAATGATCTATTTACTTAAAGTCAGAGTCACAGGAAGGGAGAGATTGAGGTCTTCCATTTCCTGATTTACTCCTCAGATAGCTGTAACGGCTGTGACTGGGGCAGGCCAAAGCCAGGAGCTTCTTCTGGGTCTCCCACATAGGTGGCAGGTCCCAAGCATTTGTGATGTGTTCTAGTGCCTTTTCCCTCCCATTAACAGTGGTGCTATGCTATCTTTGATGAAAGGCAGTTTTAGTAGTATATACTCTGCCTCACAGAAGTGAATGATGGCCTTGCACACTCTCGACCTCACTCAGAGTTCTTTAGCCTGATACCTCCCAGAGCATGCACTGTGAGTGTTCAGAGCCTATGGCTGAGCTGCCAGGGGGACCCCTATCCAAATTACACCCAGTGCTGCTGTCCCTGGCCAGATAGACCATGGGGCACCAGGGAGCACAGGCCTGCTCTCCTCTTGCCTCTAGGTTGGGCTTTTAGGAGGAACTAACCTGTGCTAGGAGGCTGTTTTGTGGGTGTCCCAAAGAGTCAGCGTGGGTGCATCATTCTAGCCAGGCAGGGCATGGCCCAGGCCACCCTCTCCCATGGTTCTGCTTGATCAGCAGTGCCGCCATCTCTGTCCAGGCCCTTCAGCATCTTGCTGCTGGCTGAAAAGTACATTTGTCATCTAGAGTGATGGCGGCAACATGCTAGAAGCCTCTAGGCTTTGCTTCTACCCTGGCTGACTTCCCTGCCCTGGACACCTTCTCCTGAAGGCAGGGTGGCAGCAATACAGGCATATGGGTCTATCCCAACTTGGGATGAGGGGTGGGGTATGGCTCACAACAGCCTGCGCCTGGAAGGGGAATGTGTCTGAGTTACTCCAGTGCAGAAACCTAGCAGACTGTGGATGCTGGGTCAACCAGTCAGCTGGAGCTATGCTGCTTGGCCTAGGCAACAACATACTGTGTGGGCTGTCTGTGGGGCCACCTGCCTCTGTGGCTTAGACTGTTGGGGACTGGCATTGTAGCAGGTCTTACAAAGAAAGCAGCACTGGCTCTTGTGAGTGTGTCATTGTGGCCATTTTGCCTTCCTGCCACTGCCTGCCGTGGATGAACACTGTCCAACATGTGCTGGCAAAGACAGGTCCAATTAGCTCAGCTTCGATGAAGTGGCCACCTTGGCAAGTCGGAGCAAGGGCTGCACATGGGCTGAGCTCCAGACCCCCTGCTCAGTACTCACCTGTGTTGCAGGAGAGGAGCTGTCAGCCAGACTTCCCTGGGGGCCTTGCACTGTCTCCAGGCTGTTTCTTGGACAGGAGGCCAATGCTGTGGCAGACAAGTCAGCACACCCTTGTGGTTTCTCTCCAGCCAGGAGGAAGCATGGAAGGAACCAGAGGGAGCTCCCTGTTGTCAACAGGGAGCTTGGCTTCTGTGCTAGGTCTGCCATGAGCATGGTTCTGGCAGGAACAGAAGGGGTAGCCATCTTCTAGGGCTGCCCTGGTCCCTGGTATCTTTAGGTTTGGCCAGCTATTGGGAAGTACCTGCTATGAGCCAGGCCCGTGTGTGTGTGTGTTTACCTGCCTCTATTTTTTTTTTTTTTTCCCCAATAGATTTTGCACCAGAAAGCAACTCCTTCCTATTTTTCTGGGCTCTCCTCCACTCTGCTGTCTGTCTAGGATTTGGTGGGGCCTCCCCTGGTTAGGGGGGTTGGAGTTAGGAGGAACAGGTGCTTTTTGGGTCTCCTTGGAGCTTATCTCCAAATTAAGATAAGGTGGCCAGAAATACTAAGAGACTTTGGGAGACTTTGGTGTCCTGTGTGGGTGGGTGGGACATCCCTATGTGACCTCTGGCCTGGCCTCTCCACTTGCCCCTTGGCCACAGGCTTTGTGTATGCTTTTGCTTTTGGGTTCCCTTGGGCGCTGTGAGTGGCTGGGGACCAGGTGTGTGTGTATAGTGGTGAGTGTAGAGGGGAGGGAGGAAGGGAAATCACCTTCCCGGGGCCTGACAGTGAGGACTACTGTGCTGAGACCTTGACCCTTGCCTGATCACTTGTAGGCCTAGATGCCAGGAGCCAGCAAAAAAGCATGTACTGCCAGGTCCCAGCTCTGTCTCCTGCCCAGTATCCTGCCCTGTGGAGAGCCCCCACCCACCCCATGCTTGCATTGCAGGGTGGGGTTTGTGTCTGTGGAATGTGGGTCCACACTGCTGCTTAGAATGAGCAGAGGTGTGGCGGGTGTGGGCCAGGCTGAGTGTTGCCTGTTGGCTAGTGGCCACTCTCTGGTGGCATGCAGATGTGGTTGGATGCTCTGTGCCAGAGAAAATCCCCACAGCTGCTCTCGCAGAGTGAGTGTCCACCGGCAGCACTTGGCTGGGCCTGTTTCAGGACTCCCCCCCCTGCCATGTGTTCAGGTTCTCCCAGGGCTGTATGCTCTCTGTCTGCCTTCCTCTCACAGGCGATTTCTCTATGCTGTTAGAGCAGGAGGCATGGGGAGAGGAATGGACTCCTGGCCCTGGCTCTGAGAAACTCCATACCAGAGGGCTACACACAGGGTGTGGTGTGGGTGGGATGGTGGAGAAGGGTGCCTTCAGAGCCAGCCTGGGGGAGGCTTCATATGGATGATGATAAACTGGCACCTTGCCATGAGCCTGGGCTTAGAGATGGAGGCAAGTCCCCCAGCCTGGGCCAGTGCTGCCAGCAGTTGGTTGCTGACAGGTAAGCCCTGGCCTTGGCTTTGGCCTCGGCCTGTCCTCTGTGCCATGGGCATCTGTACTCAGGGGAACCCCACTAGTTAGTCTTTGTTCCCCTAAATGTTTTCTAGCTTGTCCTGATCAGGGACTACCCTCGGTTTCCTGTCTGTCCAGGAATGGCTGCTGGCTGGGCTGGGCAGGGTAGTCATGCTTCCTTGTGCTTCCTTCCACAGCAACCCAAAGGTTCAAGTGGAGGCCATTGAAGGGGGAGCCCTTCAGAAGCTGCTGGTCATCCTGGCCACGGAGCAGCCTCTCACTGCAAAGAAGAAGGTGAGTCTGTGCCCTTCTTTCTACCAAGTTCCAGCCGCTGTGCAACCTGGAAAGACAGGGTCTCTTCCCAGACTGTGCATGTCCCGCTGTGTCCTGAGTGTCATCTGCTGAGGCACAAGAGAGAGGTCACACAGTCTGTCAAAGTAGGTGGCAGCTGTTAAGGTGCCTGAGGCCTGGGTGAGCTCCAGAGGTGCAGTCTTGGGCCTCACCTGCAGCTGCCTACCTGCCTCCATTTACATTCTGTCTGCCATCTGGTGAGACTGAAGGTGTCTGATGTCTCCTGGTTCTCACAGTCCTGGGTTCTAGGACACGGCTGTACCCCAGGGTGGTGGGGAGGCTGCCTCTCCTGAGTCCCAGGGGTAGGTGTATTCACTTGTTGCTGGGTCTGCTCCACCTCCCCAGGTCCTGTTTGCACTGTGCTCCCTGCTGCGTCACTTCCCCTATGCCCAGCAGCAGTTCCTGAAGCTCGGCGGGCTGCAGGTCCTGAGGAGTCTGGTGCAGGAGAAGAGTACGGAGGTGTTGGCCGTGCGCGTGGTCACCTTGCTCTACGACTTGGTCACCGAGAAGGTCCGTGCTCTGACTGCCTGTGCCCCTCGCTGACTCCCCCTGCGTGATTTTACCTTGTTTGTGGCCTTTTTCTCCAGGCTCCCTCCCAAATCTCCTGTGTCTTAGCTGGCCAGATGGGTGGAAGTGACTTAGGGCATCAAGGAGGGTGTCCCATGAGATGTGACAATTAAACTGACATCTGAGGGCTGGGGACCAGGGTTGGAGGAATGAGACTCAGTGCCAGGATCAGATCCTTTTTGGAATGAATGGTGTGTGTGTGTGCTGGGGTAGCTGAACCTGGAAGCCAGGAGACCAAAGAATGGGGGTTGGCATGGAAGCCGATGATCCTGCAAGCCTGGATGAGGTTCTCTGGGGATAGAAGCTCAGAAACACAGCCCTTGAGAGCCCTGGAGACCCCTTGCTTGGCACCTAAGAGGAGATGTGGCACTCATCCCCCTTGGGTCTTTGCAAGCCTGAGAAGCATCTTAATTAAGAAGGAGAGAGGAAACCAGCCAAGCCTGGCTTTCCGACTCAGCTGCTGCAGAGCTTGGCAGGGTTCTCTTGGTTGCTTCTCCTGGGCCTCACGCTCTCAGAACAGCCTGCTGCTGATTGGTGGATCAGAGCTGAGTGTTGGCGGCTGAGGGCCCACCCCTCTCTCTGGCCTTCACCAGCTCTGTCACCTCCCCGCCCCCAACCACTCTGGCAGGGCTGGGCTGCCCATGGTAGCCTCTGTGTCACTCAGTCTTCTCTCTCCCATCCTTTCCCCTCTTCTCTGCCTGACTTGCTTGTCTGCCTGCTTCTCTCTGCCTGGCTTGGTCTAAGCTGCAGGAATCCAATTTCTCAGAGCAGCCAGTAGCCATGCAGTGCTCAGATCTAGTTAATCAGGCCTGGGCACAGTTGATGTCCTGGGGGCTAGCTGGCCTGGAGGAGCCCATACTTTGTGCCCAAGGGGACCTGATCTCTCTCGTGGCTTGTGTGTCTGCTGCCCCCAGCCTGGCATCACAGGTGCTGGGGCATCGCCCATCATTGGCATGCCACCACCAGGTACCTGGGGTGTAATCCTTGCTTATTGAGTATGTGCTGTGTGTTGGGCACTGACTATACCTTCATCAGTCCCCATGTCCTCCTGGTGGGTCCTGGACACTTCCCTGAAATGGGGCTGCCCAGGGTCTGAGGGAGGCCAAGTGCCAGCTCAGGGGCATTTCATTCCCGAAGTTGTTAGTGGTGCAGGAATGTTAACCCAGCCTGTGTGGCCATGATTGCATGTTGGGTTAAACTCTGCGTGCTATTAAGGAGTTGCCCTGGTTTCTATAACTCGTCTGCTAGGTCCAGCAGCCCTAGAGAACTGGGACCCCTCCCCACCTTGGTTTCTCCAGCAGCTGGCACAATGTACAGGTGTTTTGATGAGAGACGGATGGATGAGAGAGGAGGAGGTATATGTACAGGGAGCAGGGGACGTGTAGGAAGCTTTTAGTGTAAGGTCCTCTGAGGCCCAAGGGTGTGGAGGAAGAGCCTCATGGCTCGCCATGGCCTTGGCATGTGAAGGGCAGGGCTGACTGTGCTCTGTATTTCTGCTCCTCCTTCTCTGGCTCCTGGCTGTGCGGAGGGCAGATGTTTGCTGAAGAGGAGGCTGAACTGACCAAGGACACATCCCCGGAGAAGCTGCAGCAGTACCGTCAGGTGCACCTGCTGCCAGGCCTGCGGGAACAGGGCTGGTGTGAGATCACAGCACGCCTCCTAGCGCTGCCTGAGCATGATGCCCGTGAGAAGGTGCTGCAGACCCTGGGCGCCCTCCTGGTCACCTGCCGGGACCACTACCGTCAGGACCTCCAGCTCAGCAGGACACTGGCCAACCTGCAGGCTGAGTACCGGGCACTGGCTGCCCTGGAGCTACAGGAGGGTGAAGATGAGGGCTACTTCCGGGAGCTGCTGGGTTCCATTGACAGCCTGCTGAAGGAGCTGAGATGAGGCTGCCCTGACACCAGGGCAGCCTGGGCGGGGGGCACTGCTCCTGAGGCTTGGGGTCACGCCTTGGAGTAGGTTTTGCAAGGCACATCTCACAGGAAGGCATATTTCCCACCTGGGGCATGGGTACCATCTGGGCAATATGGAGTGACTATTAAATGAAGCTGTGAAGGCTATTGTCTACTGAGTCTAAGCACACTGGGCAGAGCTCTGTGCCTGGGCACTGCATCTGGAATGTCTGGGGGGTCTGTCAGGGGTGTGAGTGGGTGATGGGCTGGCTGAACAGCACAGAGTGTCCATCAACAGGTTCTGTGGGAAGGATGTTGGGTCAGGGGTTGGAAACTTCTGGCTGTATGCCTGCAATTGTGCTGTGACCTTGAGAAGTCATTTAACTTCTCTGAGCTTCTTTCCTCTGTCAGAAGGAGTGCCATGGAAGGACAACATTTACCTAAGACGCTGCGCCAGATGTGTATGCCTGACGAGCTGGTTCCTCCCCACACGGGCAGGAGGGAAGGTCTAGGCAGTCACTCACTGTCCTCCTCCCCACGCCCAGCCTTGGCTCTGGGGAAGCCCAGGCAGCTGCTGGAGCCCAAGATGGGTGGTCCTTGGGAAAAGAGTGATCTCCATGGAGTTGCTGGGGACAGGAGGAGGGGGACAGGCACAGGACCCTCCAGACCTTGCCCCAGCCTATGTACAGCAAGGTACCCCACCCTGGGTAAGACGTCTCACCATCAGGGCATCCGAGCCTGGTGCGTCCTGGCCCCCACCCTGAGAGGCTGGGCTTAGGCTGGGAGCCTGCCACAGGTTGCCATGGTAACCCAGGCTCTGGGCTTTCCTGATTTGGATTCTGGTACATTTGTTTTTCAGCCTTCCTCAATGCACCAGAGGCTAGCTCCTGCTGGTGCAGACTCCCCGCCTGGCTCCCGGCGGTGAAGATGGGAAGTCTGGTGTGGGGCGTGCCTGTGCTTTCCTGACCATGCCCAGCTTATGGCCATCTTGCTCCTACTGAGCCAGAGGACCCCACGGAGCCAGGAGACCCTGAGACGCAGCACTGCATGGGAGAAGCAGGCACCCTACTCTTCAGCCCTTGTCCTGCCCGCCTCCCACCAAAGCAGAGCTGTGGCCAGTGCAGAACCCTTCTGAGGGGTAGGGATGGGGTGCAGGTGAAAGCCAGCACCCCTTCCTGTCCTCTGCTGTTTCCCCAGCAGAGACCTTGCGGTTCTGGCATTGGGAATACCTGACAGGCAATTACCCAGCACATTGGCTGCCTGCTGCCTTACAGCTCTTAGAGACTTCGAAGGGTTTCTCAGGGAGAACAGGCCTGGGACAGGCTGTGCCACTATGATCTGGCACAGAGAGCTCAGATGTTTCCTCAAAAGGTAGGAAGCCACAGCAGAACAGGGTAGCACTTGGGCCACTTCAGAGATGAGGTTAGCAGGTGGTCTGGGTGGACGTGAGGACACGAGTGTGCAGCTTGGGGCCAAGCCCCTTCTCTCTGCCCCTCTCCCCCTCCCCTGCAAGCCCAGGCCCTCGTAGGGAGCTGAGTCTATAGCTGGTTTCTTCATGGCCTCATCCCAGTACCCCCAGGCTTCTGAGCAGAACTGCAGGGACATGCTAGCAGCTAGCAGGGGACCCAGGCAGCGGGGCGGGGGGGAGGGGGCAGGTTCTGGCTGCATCCCCAGTTCCTCAGTGACTACTGTCTGCAGGGAGTGGCCCCTTCTGGGCCTTCTCTCTGGGGTCCACCCCGGGAACCTAGCAGCTGCTCTCCTTGCAGCTCTATTGCATTGCACTGTGGCCACAGGCTAGAATGGAACCATACCCAGGGGCTGGTATTCTGCTACCTGGTGGGCCTGGCAGGATGGTTGGGGGCAGCAGATCTTGCTCACCCTCAGCAGATGTGGGGGCCCTGGGTTTACTGCTGCATTAATATTCACTCAGTGTTGTGTGTTGAGCTGTAGTGGATGCTAAGCCTCCAGGCTCACGGAAGGCCATGAGCCCAGCTGCCAAGCAGCTCTGGCTGCTGGGGAGTACACAGGCCAGGATGACGAGGCCCTAGCTCATGCAGGGCTCCAGACAGCTTTGTGGAGGCAATGATTCCCAGCTGAGATGCACGTCCTGTGTCAGGAACCAGGAGATCCAGGCTCGGAGGGGCTTCAGGCACGGAGGGGCTTCAGCCCCAAGAAGCATAAGGCTGAGATCTGGGTCCCCCGGAGGACCTGTGCATGTGGCAATGCTGCTGACAAGAAGCCTCAGCCTCCCACCTTGTTGGCCTGGCCCCAACAGTGCCTTCACCCAGTGCTGCCACCACTCCTTTTCTCGGCTGGACCCCAACTAAGCCAGCAAGTGGGCAACAAAGGCAAGACAAGGGCAGAGCCTGACAGCAGGATGCTGCTGAGTGCCATGCTTACCAGGTAAGTGCTGCGTCAAGGAGTGGGAGTGTTGCCATGACATGCAGAAGGCCTCTGAGGAAGTGCTTTGGCCATGTCCATACAGGCAACTGGGCAAGTGCTTTGTGGGCCAAGATGTCCAGGTCCTCAGGCAGGACAGGGCAGGGAGATTTCAGAGCAGCCCCCATTACCAGCACCATGGAATCAGTATCAACAAGTAGGGGCTGGGAAGTGCACTGGGGACTTGAGCTTCCCGTGGTTGCTGGGGAGGAGGGAGAATGAGAGGGTGCAGCTCCTTCCCATGGCATGGAAGTGATTTCAGGAAAAGGATGTGGATGTTTTTGGGTAGCTGTTACTCAGCCACCTCAAAGCACAAACTTCTAGATCCCCTCAACTGTGATTAGATGGGGTAGGTGCTGGTGTAGTAGTTTAAGCCATGGTCTATATCCTATATCAATGCACCAGTTCGAGACCCAGCTGCTCTGCTTCTGATCTAACTTTCTGAAAGTGCGTCTGGGAAGCAGCTCAGTGCTTGAGCCTGTGCTGCCATATGGGAGACCCAGATTGATTTCTGGGCTCCAAGGTTTGCCTGGCCTAGCCTTGACTGTTGTGGTCATTTGGGAAATGAACCAGCAGATGGAAATGTTGCCCTCTCCTCTCTCCACTTTCTTTCCTCTCCCTTCAAATAGGTGAAACTAGATACATAAACATGATATACCTGGGAATTGAGTAAAGAATAAGCAGATCACCTGTGTGGTCCTATAAACTGTTCCAAGAAAATTCTACACCCAGGTGTTTCCATTAGCAAGTTCTGGAGTATTCAAAGTCCCCATCATTTCTTCCAGAGATGAGAAGACCTGTCTAAATTTAGGTCATTTGTGGTGCCAGTGTTACTCTGAGAGGGAAAGCTAAGGAAGCTCCTGGAGGGCAGTCTCCCTCAGCAGCGGAGAAGTCAGAGGGAAGAAGGCAGGCGGTGAACGGCCTGGTCAGAGCGTGGGCAGGGTTGTCCTCTACAAAACAGCAACACTAGGAGCCCCACACAGAGGCGCTCTTCCGCTGGGGAGCTGGAGGCTCCGGCACCAGATGCGCTGTGTGCAGAGCCATTGGGTGTGGCACTACCCGTGTCTCCATGGATGGGGAGAAGAGTTTGCTGGGGTGCAGCATCCAGTCACAGCACAAACTTGGTGATTCAGTTGGAGGAGGGAAACCACCTAGAAGCCCACAGCTAATGTTGCCCTAATGGTCAGCGGAGATAAGAGTGAGACAAGGCAAGCATGCCTTTTCTCAGAGCTGCTTTTCAGGATTGTGTTGGTGGTCCTGAGGGGTGTGCTCATGCGAGCAAGTGGAATACCAAGTGTGGGAATGGACATGGAAGACAGGAAGCTGGCTCTACTCCTGGAGGACATGATTGTCAACACAAAAAAATCCCATGGAGGTTTGAAGAACTTCCCAGAACTAACAGACAAACCTAGGAAAGCCATAGGCTAGAAGGTCATTGTGCAAAAATCAACTATTTCTAAATGCCAGGAGAGAGCAGTGAGAAGTTAAATTTTAAAAAGGGTGCCATTTATAATGGCCCTAGAAAATGAAATATGTGTAAGATTTTATGCTGATCCACAATAGGTACTGAATTTGATGTTGGAAATGACAAAATACCGACAGATAGGATCAAAGAAGATCCAGATCACTGGAGAGGCTGAGTCCATAGGCTGGGAGACTTGATGCTGGAAGAAGCCAGGGCCCAGCATGCTGATCTGGCATTCCCTGCAATCCCAGTAGGTTTGTAGGTGCCAGGAATCTCAGTCGAGAATTCGTGTGGAAAGACAAATTGGCATAGCTAAGATTATTTTTGAAATAGGTTGGAGACACATGCTGGTTGATTTTAGCACTCAACACAACTAGAACAGACAGGGTGACATTTGTCAGGACAGACAAACAGATCAGCGAGTCACAGTTACAAACATGAGAGCCTTTCAAAAAGTTCATGACAAAATGGAAATAAAAAGTAAATATTTGTTGTAAGAAAATTTCAAATTCATATACAGTGTTTTCATAGAGCACATTTTCTGTTAACTTTTTATAAAGATGATTTTTTAAAAAGATTTATTGTTTTTGGAAAGGTAAATATACAGAGAGAAGCAGACACAGAAAGATCTTCCATCTGCTGATTCACTCCGCAAGTAGCTGCAATGGGTGGAACTGAACCAATCTGAAGCCAGGAGTCAGGAGCTTCTTCGGGTCTCCCACACAGGTACTGGGTCCCAAGGGCCATGCTCTACTGCTTTTCAAGGTCACAAGCAGGGAGCTGGACAGGATCAGAACTGGCGCCAAGATGGGACCCTGGGCATGTTCAAGGTGAGGACCCTAGTCACTAGGTTACCATGTTGGACCCAAAGATGATTTTTTTAAAGGTTATTTATTTATTTAAAAGGCAGAGCTGCTGAAAGGGAGAGATGGGAATCTTCCATCTACTGGTTCACTTCCCAAATGGCCACAATGGCTGGAGCTGGGCCAGTCTAAAGCCAAGAGCCAGGAGCTTGCTGCAGGTCTCCCATGTGGGTGCAGGGGCCTAAGCATGTGGGTTGCCACCTGCTCCCTTTCCAGGCTCATCAGCAGAGTTAGATGGGAAGTAGAGCATCCTGGTCTCAAACATGCGGTCATTTGAGATGCTGGTACCACAGGTGGAATCTCTACTCATTGTACCAGCTCCTCTGTTACCTTTTTGAAAACCTTTCATCTACATGGATTCAAAAAATATTTATATCAAACTAAAAACTTTTCATTATATTTGAAAAGCAGACTGACAGTATTCCTATGTCCATGATCCAGTCCCCAGTTGCCTGCTACAGCTGAGGCCAGGTCAGGAGGAAGTCAGGAACCTAGAATTGAATTTGGCTTCCCTAACGGGTGACAAGGACACAAGTGCTTGACCCCTCCTCTGCTGCCTCCCCAGGTGCCCATCACCACCCAGCTGGATCGGAAGGGGAGGGGCTGGGGCTCAAAGCACGCATTCCAGTATGGGTACAGGTATCCCAAGTGGTGTCAATGCCCAGCCCTTATACATATTCTAAAATACGTTCCACAAATTTTTGACATTTCCTTCTTCTCCCACCCCCTCAATTTCAGATAAAGCTTATGAATTATTTCTAGAATGTCCCGTTAATATTTTGGACCATGGTTGCCTTCAGGTAACTGCAGTCATGGAAAGCAGAATCACAGCTAAGGGGGCTACTGTACACTTATTTTTTTAAAAAACTGATTTTTAAGCATTTTGTAAGGCAGTCTCTCACCTGCTGGCGCACTCCCCAAACACCTGCAGCATCCCAGACAGGGCCAGAATATAGCCAGAAGCCTGGGATGCAGTCTAGGTCTCACACACGAGTGGCAGTGATGCCAGTATGTGGGCCAGCACTGCCTCCTCGGAGGGCATAGATTAGCAGGAAGCTAGAGCTGGAAGCAGAGCTGCGACTCAGATCCATGCCCTGTGACAAACCAGCGCACCCTG